TTATAAAACATATTGTTGTGTGTGATTCGGTGAGTGAGTGCAAGCGAGCATTGTATCAAAGTTTATCCGTTCCTTTTATCCAAAGTAGGATAAAAGCGATATCTTTGGGCCCCTCGATGATTTAGTGATGACAAAACGTAAATGCTCGGTCGGGCTAGGGCTAATTTGATTTGTTCAATTAGTCGGTCGTTGTAAATCGGAAATCGAGAAACAACACATAGACTGAGAGAATAATTTCAATCCATGTCTCATGTCTATACGATATCTAGAATAGAGGAATATATGATCCCTTATCTGAAGGACAGGTTACTGATAAGATCAGAGTTTGACAGCGCCTTTGAGAGCTACGATTGCAAATCGAGGTGTACTTACATTTGTAGTTACTAGACTTCTCCAAGTGGGAGACTGTTGGATTAGTGTCTAAGCCAGTAACCATATTTGCTAAATACTTGACCCGATTGTGCATGGTTCTTTTGGGATGCCTTCACCAAAGCAACTTGACTGGAGAAATAATAGAGAAAGAGGTTATTATGATTTATTAATATGTTATAAGAATAATATATTAAAGGAGAAATCATATTTTTTTAATTAATATTGGTCATTAATTAATTAAGAATTAATTTTGTGATCAAATGTAATTAATTAAACTAGAAGGCCGAATTGTAATTATATGATAGTTGCAAAATAGGGTAAGGATTATCCTAGAATATGGGTGGACGAAATCTAAAGGATATGTATCCTTGAAATCGTCCAAAGATATGGGCTTTCAAGGCTTATCTTATTGTTACTTGGTGGGCAAGCAACTAGATAAGGATAAGGACCAAAACCCAAATCTATACACCTATATAAAGACCCCTAAGGCTCATGAATTCATCCAGGCCTTCCCAAGGGTTCCTAGGGACAAAATTCTATACCTCGTCTCTCTCTCTCTCTATTACCTCTCCATTTGCTCTTGGTGTTTGTGAGCCGTTAGAGGCACTACACTTGTGTTGCTTACTTTTAAGACTTAGGGGTTTGAAGATTTAAGTTGTTATTACAATACAACAAGAGGTATGTGTTCTAACCTTCTACATGAATTTCGAAAATTGTAGGCCACATTAGGGTTTCTTTATGTGTTCATAATGTTGTGTATCTAATAGTGAAAAACATAGATCCAATTCTAGGATTGCATGCACACATAGGATTGTTTGTATAAAACCCATCATAACCATCTTCATCTTCTTCATTGAAACTCAAGGTTCACCATCTTCACTATCTTTGTTCATCATACCATACACCACCAAACACTTTCCTTACATCAAAACACCAAAACACAACCATGAAACAACCCAAAACCTTCTGCATCAAGATCAACCACAAAACCCATCACTATTCATCATCATCTTCATAGAAATTTCACCACCGTTACCACCTTATATCAACCTCCTTCCAACCTCTAAACAAGCTTGAAAACATCCTCAAAACACCATAACACCATTACCTTAGCCAAAACATCACAAATAAAACTTACCTTCAAATCACAAAAATCCTGAAATTGACAGCTGCGTGAACACGGTCCGTGTTCAGCATGCCTTATATCAGACACAACACGAGTACCCTTCTGTTTGCCTCTGGTACATCAACACGGCCCGTGTTCATCCAAGCCTAAATCCAACACGTCCCGTGTTCAGCATCATTATCAAGAAAACCATCTAAACCCCTCCTAAACCTTCCTACACGACACGTATCTCTTGTGCCTTATCTTACACGACCCGTGTGCATGTTTTTACCCAAAAATACCTCAAATACAAATACATAAACTCATGTATTTTGTACCATTTTGTAAACAACTTGTTTTACATAAAACCGAGCTTTAAATGAACTTTTTGTAACTTATCCAATGTCGGATTGATCTTTGAACAAATATTGACCATTCGTTCCAAGAGTCTCAATATCGATTAGTCGTTCAAAGAGTCCCAATATAGACCAGTCGCTCCAAGAGTCTCAATATCGACCAATCATTTTAAGAGTTCAAATATCGACCAGTCGTTCAACGAGTCCAGTTCAGTCAATTTATTGACGAACCTACTTGATATATATTTATATACTTATATACTTTATTATAGCTTTATGTCATTTAAATATAGTCATTTATATTATTTATAGCTTTACGTCATTTAAATACAGTCATTTATATTATTTATAGCTTTACGTCATTTAAATACTGTCATTTATATTGTTATAGCTTTCAGTCATTTATAGTTTTCATATACATACTTATTCCGCAATTATTATTCTTTATACATATATATACATTTTATATCTTAAACTTATATATCTGTCACATAATAACTGGTAACTGAGCATTTTGTTGTGATGATCGGATTGTTATATTTTCAACAATCGGTATCTAAACTAATATATAAAAGAAATAATATCCAACAGTAACTTTTGACACTTAATGTATTTTACTCTTTCATTCATTTGTATCCTTACAAAAGTATTAATCAAACCAAAAAATTATATTTAGAACTTTTGTTCTTGATAATTTCATACTCTGATTTGATTTCATTTACTTAATTCATACAAACTACAATGTTAATATCAGTATATTTTATTTTCTTTTATATTTTAAATTTTGAGATATATGTGCATTGTCTTCCCTTATATTTTTAATATTGGACTCTATCTATATATATATATATATATATATATATATATATATATATATATATATATATATATATATATATATATATATATGATTATGTTATTTATTTATTTATTTATTTATTTTGTAAGTTTTGGATGAAATTAAAGTAAAATTTGTGTTGTAAGTTATAACAACTGATTTATATTTAATTTTTTGTATATTTTCATTACATCTAATTTTTTGTGTTATACTGTTAATATATGGTTTGTGAATAATTTTTTATCATAAAATATTGCTCCTATGCAACACACGCATATACGCTTAGTATTAATAATAAAATTCAATGCAGTTTAAGACAATTTCAGAAATCGTTATTCCAGTTTCTAGATCAATTGGTCTCTCCAAATTTTAAGAGTAAAACTAAAGGGTATTAATGTAATTAAATTAAAAAGAAGTTATTGATTTGCTGAGTTAACTCGGTAGAGGGTCGATATTGACTGAATAATTGTTTTGGGCGGTTGGCATTTGTCATTACTGGAGTGGGCCCTTTAATCTATTGCAATCGTCACCTATATCCACACACTGCAGAGTTATACAACTTAAAACCGTAACCCATCCAGTAACATACCCCTATCCTCCAAACATGTATGAGAAAACTGCCATTCTTATGACTTGAATTATAGCTAAAAGGCAAACTTAGTCCCCCAACTTCATCTTCTACTAACTATCCTACTTGCATTTATTGGAAACTCCTAAGGATATCATATGTCCATTTTTCTTTTTGACATGGTAACATAGTGTGATTCTAAAATCAAATAAGATGTGGATTTGGACAAAACCAATGTACTATTAGCTTATATATTAGCTTACATGTATGTGCATACTTGTCTATAATTGCAAATCATGAAAATAAAAACAATTACAATATAATTGACGTAATATAAAATAAAATAACTTTTTGAATATATCCTCAAATATATAGGATGAACCCGAAAAAAAAATCCATTTATATATATATATATATATATATATATATATATATATATATATATATATATATATATATATATATATATATATATATATATATAGAAGTAGGTTCAATGGAAAATGAACAATTAGAGCAACATATGCTGGAACCAATGATCAAGTGATACGTATCCATTTCTTTATTCATAAGCAATCTACTATGAAAGTTATTTATGTAGTTATTCCAAAATGATGTATTGTCATGCTTTCATTGGTTCCAACATGTATTGCCCTAATTGTTTATTTTCCATATAACTCTTTTTATATATATATATATATATATATATATATATATATATATATATAGGACCTTGTGCAGCTGTCCATTCTGCTACCCTTTCCCTCCATGACCTATAGTATAAATCTTCAACACAATGTATATATAATATCTAGTGTGTTTGTTATAGCATTTTATCATAAGGTAGATATATTTAAAAACTTTTATTGGTAATTAAATCAAACTCTTTTAGAAAATAAACTAAAGAGAATATTAGTTAGACACAATTCCAATAGAATATAAAGCATGTGTTATGACCATAACAATATTGCACAATCATGAAGTTTAGAAAATAAAAAACGATGAAGTCTAATAATAACTTAATAAGTTTTTGATCATACCAGACCACATTTAAATGGAAAAATATGTACAATTGGCATCTAGATACTATGGCTTATCAATATAAGCGACCAAGTGGATGACCATATATGTTGTGAGCAACTTTTTGTTTGTTTTTTTTGGGTACTAAAATCATACAATAACACCAAATGTCAATAAAATATGTTTAAACAACACAAAATCCAAATTAAAATTTGATATATCGTATTCTACATCTCTTTTAAATTTACATTCTCTTGTGATGCCAACATTATTACATTACCATGTTATAACAAAACACAAGAATAGACATTTTCAAATGCATGCTTTATCATTGTAGGCAATAAATAATATAGGGGCCAATTCTAAAAGTTTCAAAACTAAAGGGACTTGAAGTGGAATTTAACAGCTTTTATAAACACGGATTTTTCGGAGTGGATGAGATCGAGACGATTGATACGTAGGTCTGCAGCAGACTCGACGACGCAAAGATTCTGCAACTCCATTCCCGCCCTTTGCGTTCGAGGTTCGTAGAATCACACATAAATACACACACAATCACATCGATACTTATACGTTTTAGGTGTCTGTATATGTTGATTTTACGAATTTATCTGTTTATTGTATTGACAATTGAAAACCCTAGGTCAACTATCATCAAGGAATTTCAATTCCTTTAGTTCCTAATTCAGTTGATCAAATTAAGACCCTAGTTTCTTTCAAATCATCGGAGTTGTTTGTTATATGGATTTGGATCTTTTCAAGAAGAGCTTGGATTCGGATATCGTGAAGAAGAGTTTGGATTACACTCGAAAGAGAAAGAAATGGATTCTTCTCATCGGAGCGTTAGGGCTTTCAAGTTACGGAGCTTTTAGGGTTTACAACTCACCTTCTGTGGTGAAGAAGAGGGAGAGATTCGCAAAGGTTTTAGGCTCGTTAGCTTCAATCGCTGAATTACTTGGTGATTCCGCAGAGACAATAGGAGTCGTTTCAAAGGACTTGAAAGAATTCATACAATCTGATTCAGACGAAATCCCAAACAGTCTGAAGCAATTGTCGAAAATCACAAGATCCGATGAAGTTTCAGAATCTATCATCACTGTTACAAGAGCTTTAACTGTGGGAATCATACGAGGCTACAAAGTTGGGGAAAGCAAATCCGATCCAGGTAACAGTTTTTCAGATAGAGCTTTAGATAAACTCTTTTCTCCTTCTGGATCTGGTTTCGCCTCCATTGTTGTTGGAAGTTTCGCTAAGAACATGGTCATGGCAATTTACACCGGAAATGGAAACGAATCAAACACCTCAGGAATCTCCGAAACTTCAACCTCTATCCAGAAATTTGTCGATGTAATAGCAGAAGAGAAATGCAAGAAACTAATCGGCGATTGCATCCAACAATTCGTAAGCACATTAGTCACAGTTTACCTCGATAAAACCATGGATGTAAACCCATACGAACAAATCCTCTCAGGTTTCACAAACCCTAAACACGAAGAAAAAGCAAGAGACCTCTTAACTTCCTTCACCAATGGAGCAATCGAAACACTCGTAAGAACATCCCACCAAGTGATTACAAATCCAGATGCAAAAGGAAAAGAACTCGTTTTAAACGGAATCAAACCAAGAAAAAGTCAAAGCAATTCAGGGTTTGTTCACAAGATCTCTTCAACTTTAGCAGTTCCAAGTAACAGAAAGCTTGTTCTCGATGTAACTGGGCGTGTGACATTTGCAACTGTAAGATCTTTCCTGGAGTTTTTCTTGGATCAATTATCATCAGGTATGAAAAGAAAAGTTGATGGAGTTCATGATGAAGCCATTGATAAAGGGCGTGAAGTTTACAGGTATGTGAGTACAAAATCATATACTGTTATGACTATTTGTCTTTCTGTGTGGTTGCATGTGTTAAGTAGTCCATGGAGTTTTTCATCTACATAATTGTGGTATGAAATGATGAAAAATGAAATTCTTTAGCTTGAATTTAATCAATTTATACGAGATACAATACATGATTATATGTATATATTTGTTAATTGAACAGAATGTACTCATTCTATATAATGTAGTAATTTCATCTTGATATAGTGTTGAATGTTAGGGTTCTTGTTTTGAACATTGGAATTTGATAGATTGTTTGTATGTGCACATGTTTGATTTGGACTATAATTGAAACAATTATCAAACTTATGGACTCATTTGTTAAAAAATAAGTTGGAATTAGAGTGCAAACTTTTGTCAAACACGTGGACCATTTATGTAATTTATTGTATTTTTTTTATTAGGACTATAATTGAAACAACTACCAAAATTTTGGACACATTTGTTAAAAAAATAAGTTGGAATTAGGGTGCACACTTTTGACAAACACATAATCCATTTGTATAATTTAACTATTTTACTCTATTTTTTTATAAGGAACATAATCGACACAACTATCAAACTTTTGGACTAATCTGTTAAAAAAATGTACTTTGTATAGTTTTCTCTCAAAAGGCTTGAGAGAGTATACCGAAAGAAATATTAACAAAAATAAGAGTTTCAAAAAAAAAAAAATAGGAATTTATATTTAAAAAAAGGACAAATGGTAGGTGTTTGCTGATCTGTGAATGTACAATTCATGTACAACTCATAATGGACACATACATTTTTAATGTTTGTACTTTTTTAGATCAAATGTCAAAATCAATTTTAATGATTATTTTTGTAATATTGGGTTTTTTGTTATTTTCTGTAAAATAATTAAGAAAAATGACTAAATTTGTAATTTAATAGACAAATTTAGTTAGGGTGTGTGAAAAAAGAATTTCATCGGGTTCTTGAGTCTAAGAAAAAAAAAATTCAAAAGTCAAATCGGTTGAATATCATAAAAATCATAAGGCTGCTTCAAATTAAGTAATGATATTCTTTATATAGGAATACATGATGTACAAATATACACATGTTGAATTTAATGTGACAAAATTTGACATTTAAGACTTGTACTACACTAGAGAAAAATTAGATGTGACAAAAATTGACATTTAACACTTGTACCACACTAGAGAAAAAGGAAATTGTGGAGAAATTAAATATCTTTTTATATTTTTCTTTAATTTTTATTTAATAATATTTTAATATATTAACATGATACATACTTTAATTTAATTGGGTAGAAGAATATAATTTAATTGGTAGAAGAAGTTAATTTCTCAAATGTTATACTTCAAAGAAGACATGTTTTCATGGTTTACTTATGTCAAGATGCTTTCTTATTAATATGATTTGCAACCAAACAAGAAGTTCTCTTCTGTTTAGTATTTTATTTTTGCTTTTATAGAAGCGACTATGTAAGGTTCGCCTAATGATGATATATTTCTCGTTAAAGTATGAACATATATGAGCACTTGATCGATTTTGATCAAATGACAAAATAGATGGGGTTTAGCCTTCAAAGTACAATTTTTTTAATGGAATATATCAACAACTAGCAAAGTAGATAGAAATAAATAATAATAACAAAAACAACAGATAAAATTTGGGCTTTGATGGACCACAAATTTCTTCCTCCAACCAAACTACAGGAAATTCAACAATTGAATAAAAAATGCTCTTTTTTCAAAACTATTTGAACCAGACATCAAAGCATTCCGAAAGTTCGATAAGATCCAATGGGTCATCATAGTAATTCTGACAATTTCAATATCCAAGTTCTATAATCCCAACGATATTTTATGTAACAATCTTTCTCTCGTTCAAATGCACAAAGTCGATGGAATAATTTTTCAAATGATGCATCTCTATTTAAACTTCATCCCCAAAAGATGTAGTTTCTCTATTTCCCTTTCTTAAAATCCAAAAACAATATTATTCTTTTTTCAAGTAACTGATTAATTGAATTATTAATTCTCTTCCAAACACTATGACCACAAAAATTTCCATCCAATTGTATGACATCCCATCATGACCATGAATAGCCTTGATGAGAGTCACCCACAAGGCTTTTTTTTTTTTTTTTTTTTTTTTTTTTTAATCTTCAATTAATGGATCTCCATCTCTAGTTTGGTAATAAGACATAATTAAAATTGAAGAAAAATGACGAAATATTATAAAGTATATATCTACAGAAGCCAGACACGTGCAATTTCAACAAGGTACATCAAAATATTTACATAGAACTTGATATAACTTGTAGTTTGAACCTAGTGCTCTGGCGATTTCAGAATTCAAAAAGAATTGACGGCGGCACAAACGACAACAACGTACTTTCATCATGACGGAAGACGATGGATGGCAAAAGGCGGGACGAAGGCAGAGAAGAAACATATTCAATCGAATAATTGGTGATAGGCAAGAGAAATTGGGTTCTATCTCACCAAAATTGTCAAGGTTTGGTAAAAGATATGGATTTATTAGGTTTGCTTTGAACGTTGATGTGGAGTCCATTGCTAAGAAGGTTTGTGAACTTTGGATTGGTTCAATTAAATTGCTTGCATATTCACATGTGCATGCTCGAGGGGTAACTAAGACTAGACAACCGCATGCATTAGGCCCGATACAAAAATCGTAGGTCTATACAGGGAAGTCCAATTATAAGTCCTATGCAATGGTGGTAGCTCCAAAAATAAGATATGTGATTGAAAGGTATTCGGATGAAACATTGTCAATATAGGCGGATGATTATGTTTTTGAGAAGAAAGACACATAGAAGGTAGTTATTGCTAAAGTCAATGTAACATCTTGATGTTGAGGTATTTCTATTTTTAACCCTAAGTATGAGAATTAGTTGCATTTTAGTCATTGATATGAGAATTGTGGCAAATTGAACCAAAATGACATTTTTTGTAATTTTTGGGACGTCACCATGTATGCTACGCGTAACACTAGGTACGCTGGGTGTACGTGCTGAAATCTCAAACCCTAATATTTAGGGTTTGGATGCTATTTAAGAATCCTTAAGTCCCGAGTCCTATTTCTTTCATCAGCCTCCAGCCCCAACTTCAACCTTTGCAAACCCTAATTCGTTTTTGAGCATTCTTGAGCCATTTGTGTGTGTTTTGGTGTTCATAGAGGAAGGAGAAGGAAAAGATAACAGCTTAGAAGCTTGGAACAACCTTGGATCTTGAATTTTTGCACCCGTAGACATCTCTAGAAGATATAAAGTTCATACCTTGATGCCTATTTGGTTAGATCTAGCTTGTATGATGTTATTATGTGCTTTTGTCCCCAATCAATGATGTTCTTGAGTACGACATGCTCTAGACCCAAATGGATTGTCCTTCTAGACGTTTTGGAGTGTCTAAGTTCATAAAAATGAAATCTTGATTGTTAGTTTCCTTCCATGCATGATCTAGGTTGTCTTAATGAGTTAAGAAATTAGGGTTTTTGTTAATGGGAACTTGCTAGCCATGCAATACCATAAAGTTGGAAACTTTTTTTTGGAAAGGGAACTTCCCTAACAAGGGTTTCCGGGCCAGCTTTCGCGCACCGACTAATCCCCCGCTGCAAACATAAAGCTTTGCCTCATGCTCTTGAGTCACTGCAGGCAAACCTCCATGGCCACAAGGGCTGAGTGGTGCCAGGATTTGAACATGGGTCAATAGGTTATCCACCATATCTTCCACATGCCTTACCAAGTCACCACAACCCAAGTGGTTATAATGTCCTTAACCATAAAGTTGGAAACTTTATGGTTAAGGACATTAGTTTAAGGCTAGATCTAAGAATTGGACGAAAGAGCTTAAGGAAATAAAGCTCTTAATAGAAAATTTTAGTGAAGGCAGCGTACGTTGGGCATACGAAATGATACGTTGGGTGTACCAGGTCAACATCGTGTTTCCTGGTGAAACTCGTGTATGCTAAGCGTACAAGCTGAGTACGCTGGGCATACTCAACTGTGTTGCCTAAGTTTAACCTTTTGACTTTGACTAAGATTTGACCAAGTTTGACCTAAGGGTATTTTAGGTATTTTGAGTTGTATTTGAGATTGGTCACTATTTGATGAATAGGTGATGGGTAGAGCTGATATTCGGAGCGGAGACCTATTTATCTATTTGTTTGGACTGAGAGGTGAGTTATCCATACTGTACTTATGGGTTGAAGGCACCAAGGCTGGCCCATTGGATTTGGTATCTTGTTTTATTGTGTGTTGTTATGCTAAGATATGTATTCACTAGTTATGTAACTAAACTCATAGATCAGTAGGACTACCTGTGTTTGTTGGTTATTGTTTGATATTGAATTATCGACATGTAATTGTAACATCCAAAATTTTCAGATAATATTTTTCATTTTAAGTTCATTCCAGTCATACGATAATCATATCAAAACAATCTATAATATGTCATAGTAAAATGTTATCAGAGTACAAAAATCCCAAAATCACGTGATGCAGAAAAAGATAGGTGGATGCAGTGCGATTAGGCCGGACCCTTCCCCTTCGAGCTGGAAGTGCCTGAAACATAAACTAACAACCATAAGCATAAAGCCTACTGAGTTCCCCCAAAATACCCCATACAATACATATGTAATAGTTAAAAAAACATACTGGGTCTATTTCACCCCCTTCGGTATCTTTCAACCGATATTGGGTCTATTTCACCCCCTTTGGTATCTTTCAACCAATATCGGGTCTATTTCACCCCTACCACTAACATATATAATCATAACAATAAGACTCATAAATACATAAAGCAGATACAGGCATATTATGTAATTGTCACGAAGACAGTCATCATACTACAAACACAATCTAGTGGGCGAGCATTGGTGACTTCAACCCACGGATATAGTGAAGGAAACTCACCTTAGATTGAAGATATCAAATCACACTCATGCTGCTGACATGTGAAATCCTCTCACTAAATCACAAGTAAAGAAATCATAATTAGAAATTATGTCAATAATCCAACCCATGAGCTTGAACCCTAAATCCTGACTTTAAGGGCACCAAGGCGGCTTAATCCTTGCCTTATTAGGCCTACCCCACCAAGGCCTAAGTCTAAAGTATCCTAAAAGGCATTCTAAGTCCAACTAAAAGGACCCTAAGGCCCAACATGGTCCAAGAGCTCAGTGATGGCCTAAAGCCTACTAATGACCTGATACCACAATTAAACCTAAGGCCTAAACTCAATCAAGGAAAAAACCCATCAAATTCCGATCCCAAAACTCCCAAGCTCACAGACGAACATAAATGTGGTGTACCTTGCTCGTACACCTAACATACGTACTTGATACGGAATTGGGGTGTTAGCCCAGTACACGCAGCGTACTTATGAGTATGCCCAACATACTACTTAGACAACCAACCTTCTCGAACTGTCTTAACCTATTAAGATTTTGACGACAAGTTTCAGATCCAAGGTCATTAAAGTGTATTAAGCCATAAAGCTGTAAACTTTATGCTTTTACATGCCTTAAAAGGGTCAAATATTGAACTTTATTACACCAACTTCAACCCTTGCATGGTTAAACTTAAACCATCAAGAATCTATTTTTATGCTCAAGGGACATCAGAGGCACTATGATCTAACATTATTTTCTTTTGGAGTAGCTTATACTCCTAAGAACCACCTTAAGGACCGTAATATGAAGAACATAAGCCCTAAACTAAAACTAACACATGGCGTCATCAAGGTAGGAGCTTTTTACCTCCAATAAGCTACAAATGATGAGAAACCTCTGGATCTACAAGCTCTTTCTTGTCCAATGCTTCTTCACAAATCTTCTTCTTCTTTATTAAGCACCACACACACACACACACATAAAACACACACACAACTTTAGGAAAATGGATTAGGGTTTCGATATATGGATCAAGAGGCAAAGGAGGCTAATAAGGTGAAGGACTTAATGTTTTTAAATAGGGGAAAAACCTATAATCAGGGTTTCCCCTGGCTCGTGTACGCCCCACGTATGCATGGGTAGACCCAACGTATTCAAGGGACACCCCTGTTTCGTGCTTGCATGGGAGTACGTGGTGAATACCTTTTGTACGCCAAACATACTCTGGTCTGATTCGAGTGTTACAATTCTCCCCCACTCTAATTAGACTTCATCCTCGAAGTTCATTGTGGCAAATAACCCTGGATAATGCTCCCTCATCTCTTCTCTAGGCTCCTACGTCCACTCGGAACCCTTCTGGTGCAGCCACTGCACCTTCACGAACCCCACAACCTTGTTCCTCAAGATTTTCATCTTCCGGTCAAGGATCACCGCCGGTCTCTTAATGTAGTTCAGGCGGTCATCCACACGAATATCCTCTAAGGGAACCACTACAGAAGCTTTAAAATATCTTATAGTTTTCGAGTATGACAACAAAACAAACTATCAAGGATCCTTTTAACGAGGCTAGAATGATGTTACAACAACCATAGGGTGTTTAGAAATAACAACCTTTGATGCCTTTGGACCCTCTTGGATTTGGGGTGTTGAAGTAGATGGCAAGAACAAGAAGCTTGATATTCTCTACATGTAATCCACCAACAAGAATAAGGTACTCAAAATGCTAGTTTTCTTCTTGTATGAATTTGTTCTTTAAGCCTTAAATGCTTAAACAATTAAGCACTAGAAGGAAGACACAAAGTAAGCACTAAAAGCTAAAACACCAACTTCAAAGGTGGAGAGAGGATCTACCTTAGGTGCTCTCGGATTTAGAGGGAAATAGAGAGGAGAAGGGCCAAAAAAAGAAATATGCTCATTTCATGCACAAGAGTCCCCTTTTATACACCCACACAAAGTAAAGTCAAACCATTAAAATACTCTAAAGTATTTTAAAGCATAAAGTGAAAGGGGGCCAAAGTATGGACACCAACATGGGAAGAAAACACAAGCAATCTCCCATACACTAGGCCATTTCAGCTGGAAAAGACAAAAATTATCTCCAACTTTATTAACCATGGTAGAATAAGTCTTTAACTTAATCATGGTTAACCAAAGGATCCAAAACTTTGTACATGACTTATTATATGATACCATATCATATAATGGCTAGTTTCTAGTTTCTTTTATTATTATTTTCATAAAACAATAACTAATTTCTAATTAAATACAAGAGTTGAATTTATTTATTAATATAAAATATATAATAAATATTCAATAAGTACCAACTTCATTAAGGTGTGACCATATATGATCATATGTTATTAGCAACATCACTCAATAGTGATTCTTGAGCATATAGGTCCAACAATCTCCCACGTACACAAGATTCATTAAAGAATGACATAGACAGTAGCTGACGTCTAGCAATGGGCTACTGCTCCTAATAACACTTACCATCAGTCTGTTGGAATAGTGTCTAAGGCTATAACTATATTCGGTGGTGCATGGTCCTTTTGGGTTGCCTTCACCATAGCAACTTGAAGGATGATTTGTTAAGAGAGAGTAAATATTATAAGGAATAATATTTAGCTATTTGATTAATATAAGTCATAAATTAATTGGTATTAATTTGGTGACTTAAAGAGATTAATTAAATAAGAGGGTATAAACTATCAATTGTTTGATAGTTAGACTTTAGACTATAAATCCATTAGGATGGACTTTGGACGGTTTCTAAGAGCTTTAGGATAGCTCAAAATAGTCCATAAGGATATCTATGGAATGGATTTGGATAGCCTTAAGTGAAGATTATCCAATTAGGGTTTTAGGGTGAAACCCTTAAGGAGTCTAAAGGTATAAATAGGCCCTTGGGATGTGGAATTCGTGTACAACCTTTCAGAACCTAAAGCAAGGAACCTCTGGTCGAATTCCATCCCCTC